GATACTGAGAGTAGGGGTTTCTTACAGAGAGCTTCGAGATACGGTTGAAAAACAGAGCCATATTGAAAAACAGAATCCTAATTCCTCTTCTCTTACCAAAACAAAAGAAGAAGGAGCGATTAGGGTATTTGGAAAATTTCCATAAACTCGTTTTCTCCATTTCCTTAAATTAAACTCGAGATGCGAAATCCCTTAAATGGAAACCTTTCATATATATTTCCCTTTTTCCCTTTCATATCTATTAGAGTATTGAGGATAATGATTTCTCTATAATGTATTAGGGTTTTCAATTCCTTTTCGCCAAACTCTTTCAATCATTGTTTTTGGTTACATTGGCGTTAGTTAGAGAATTCCGTTAGGCAGTAAGAGAGTTGATTTTGTTTGACTAGGTTAATTCCAGTTAATGGATTGGAGAATATTATTACTCGAGTTTATATACAGTTAGCCGTTGGAGACTAATTACATAGTTGCCTAAATGACAAGAAAATGAATATATGGTTTCCTATTCTAGTACCCTCCAGGTCCTACGTCATTGACTTGTGTTGTGACTTCTTTCGAATAATATATAAGATGATCTCGCAACTGTTTAACAAGTTTTAATATATATACTTTTGTATATTTTGCCTTGAATTCGTTATACAAAATATCATCTGCTTCTCTTGGCACACCTTCAGGCTCTAAATTTCAGTCCAAAGATTCTTACACAGTGCACACAAATGTGCTCACACAACGCAAATGTGGTAGACAACAACATTTTCGATCCCACCATTGATTTCCACACTAACTCCATCCTCTCGAACCCTAAACCATAATGTAAAATCTAAATTTCTAATCTCTATTCATCTGTTAGCATATAAAAAACAAAACCTTAAGCTAATTCAAGAGTCTGATATTTGACGGATTCTATGTGGGTGGTACACCAAAAAGAGAATTCAACAATATGAAAACGATGAACGTATCTTACCCTGAAAAACAAGCAATGAGAGTCCATATATAATTGGGTTTTTTTTTTCCAATGAAAATAGCATGAGGAGGCTTAAGTGGGTCCAAAGCAACTCCATGATCTATGATTATTTATTTATTTTGCTAAATTGTGATGTATGATTATTGCAATGACGCTCAAAGATTTGGTATGGGGCTGGCTAGTGAATGTGTGTATATGAATTAAAAGCATTATTATACAAAAGTTAAAACAGATATGAGATCTTAAGATGGTCGGTCGTCTAAGTGAATCAATGATAAATAAAAACCCCAATGTGGTTAAAAATGAAACGGTCAAAGTAGGGATTTTGCTATGCCTTGGGGCTTGTATTATTCATTCATTTGTACCAAGATTTTTGGCATACAAACCGATACTGTCTGTAGTAGGGATTTTAACCGAGTTAATAAAAACTTGAAAAGGAATGCAATAAAAACAGAACACCAAATTAAGAACATTCATATATATATAAATTTATCAAATTCAAATCTCCAATCAAACAAATGGCATGGTGAACAAGACCATACACAAAAGCTTAAAGCAAAACTAACAACTGGCATGATGACGAGACCAGTTGGTGAAAGAAGACAACACACAACACAAAAGTGGCAATACGACCACTTATTGAACTACATAAACCCAAATCCTAGCTAGAGCTAAGTGAAGAGATTGAAAGGAACAGTGTTAATTAAGCAATGGGATCCGTGGGATGAAGCCAGAAAGGGGTACGGATGAGGCTGGGTGCACCTGAGGGATTGTAGGTACGGACCGTACCAGAAGCTAGATCGTAAGAACCAAGCCCCGGGCCCATGTAATAGACTGAGTTGGGTTTGAGACCCGGGTACATGCTTGCCGAGAGACAGAAGGCTTCACTCTTGCCAAGGAAGATGCAGAGATCTCCAATATCTTGTGTGTAACAAAAGTCTTTGCTCTTACCATCTTCCCTAAAGACCATGAACCGTTTGGTAATGCTATGGATAATTTCGTACTCCCCATCTTTGAGAGTGTACGGTGTGGGAATGCACTGTGTGTACCTAGCAGAGCAAAAAAAGCAGAGCCTTAGTCTCTCTACTCTGCCTGGATAAGAAGGAATTAAGACCATGATTATCCATGAGATTTCATGAGATTTTCATGGTCTCAATAAATAAAAAATTATTAAAATTAGAGTAAAAGAAGAAAGAGAGTGTTTTTTGTTGAAATAGTGGAGTGTATTGAATTATAAAATTAATAAAATTTGAGTAAAAATATGAGATAGTGGATAAAATTGGAGAGAGAATCTCATGAGGGTGAGACTTTGGAGAGTTTTATAGAGTGAGTTTGTTTTAGTTAGGGTGTGTTTAAATATAAAATTAATAAAAGTTGAGAAAAAGGATGAAAGAGAAGGTATAAAGTTGAAAAAAAAGAAGAGAGAGTGTGTTTTTAATAATTTTTTATCGGTTGAGACCATAGAAATCTCATGGATAAGAGAATTGAAATACTTTCCACTTGATGAAAAAAAGTTCACCAGAGGGAGATTCCACCAAGTGCTTGCTCGTGAAACACTGATCCAACATCTCCCAACCAGCCTCAGGGATCTTAGGCAGGTTTCGAAGGCGTAGCTGTTGGTACTCGAGCTTTTTGTTGTTGAGATCCAACGCACCCATGAAGAGACCCTTAAAGGTTGTAAAGTAGAAGGCTTTGTCTCTCTTGGAATACATGAGATCAGAGGCTGGTAAAATCGAGTAAGCGGTCTCAAATACTTAGCCGAGACTCATTGAACTTTGCAGCCACAGTAAAGTCTTGATCTTGGACAGGATCACAAGTAGAGAGAGACATTTCCGTGGCATAGGTCGAGGGTTTAAACTCGAGGGAAGGCAATGATACGAGTCTTGGAGATGAGACCCACGGCTTGTGCAGATCCGTGAGATGTACGGTAAGGTCTTTGTTGTTGACAGAAGCGACCCAACCTTGCGATGCTCCCACAAAAATTTGCCCATCGAGCTCCTTGGGAACCTTCTTCTCCCTGCTACACACTGTCTCTTCCTTTGCCGGGTTGAAGAACAACTGATTCACGATTTTTCCCTCGGGAAACTCTCGCAAGGTCTTGCTTCCAAGAAGCAAACACGGGGACTGAGGCAAGGATGAGAAGAAACGAGCATTGTTCCTCCGTGCCTGTCATTAAACCAAAATTCAGACTGAGTCACCAAGAATCAAAGAAAACTATGAATTGTCATGAGAGTGATTATCTTACAGAGATTCGGCTGAAAAACAGAGACATTTTCTTGGTTTTGTTTGTCTTTCCTCTTTCCAAAGAAACCCTAATTTTTCATCTCTCTTATCAAGAAGAAGAGCAATTAGGGTCCTTGGAAAATTACCATAAACTGGTTTTCTCCATTTTCTCAAGATGTGAAATTCCAGAAATGGAAACATTTCATAGCTTATTCCGATCTTGAGATGATTTAGTGAATTAAGGGGTTTTGAGGCAAATTTTGACCCTTTTTCGGCACCACCCAACTATATGGTACGCGTTTATTTTTTGGACTCGTTTTATTTCTAACAAGGATTGGATATAAAATATAAGGCAGAACAAAATATATATTATTAGGCAAATAGACAGAAATAACTCAACTAAAGCTCTAATATGGCAAAAAAGGGAACAATTCTTGGGTTCATCCCTATGGGTGAATATTTCTTATTCACTTTCTCCCTATTAGCCAATCACAATTTAGCTAACAAATAATTTATATTAAATAAATAAAATAATTGTGG